ATTAATGCATGTAAAGTGCTCAGAATAGTGCCTGGCATGTTATAAATGCCCAATAAATGGAGCTACAGAGATACTTATTTGCTATTTCTGAGTTAAAATATTAACATTTACTTGTTTGATATTTAGATCATTTGTAGTTTTAAATAACATCGTTATTGAGATATAATTCATATGCCATAGAAATTACCTTTTTACAATGTATAGCTTGGTAGTTTTTAGTATATTCAGAGTTGTGAGCATCACCACTATCAAATTTTTTAACATTTTCATTACCCCAGCAAAAATGCCATACCTATTAGCAGTTACTCCTCATTCCCACTGATTCTGTTTGTAGTTTTTTTTTAACTTATAAATAATGTATCTCTAAACATAAGTACACACGGCTTCTTCTTCTTTTGAATGATTTCAATAGAAAAATTCTAGGTGATGGATTCCTTAGTCAAAGATTATGAATACGTATACATACAGCCACTCTTTGAATGCATTAATTTACAAACATTCTGGGTTTTTTCCTGCTGTTGCTTTTTATTGTTAGCATATTGCTTATTCTTAATGCTGCTTCAGTTTTCTTAAGTTTATGTCACCAGAATGTGAGGTCCTTGGGGCTGAGAACTGTAATATTTTCATCTTTGTGTCCCCCAGGGTTGCACTATTGAGTGTGGTAGTCACTAGCCCAACGTGGCCGTTGGGTACTTGAAATCTGTCTAGTGCAACAGACATGCTGAATTTTTCATTTAATTAAAATTTAAAACTAAGGCAGATCAATTTATTTTCAACAATGATTCCAAACCAATTCATTGAGGAAATGGTGCTGGATACACACATGCAAAAAGATACATTTAGACCACACTCTACACTATACACAGCAATAGACTTACATGCAAGATCTAAAACTTACAATTTTTGGAAGAAAACATAGGAAAGGTCTTTGGTTGAGAAAAAAGTTCTTACATACAATGCCAAAAGCATAATTCATAAAAGATAAAATTGATAAGTTGGACTTCATCAAAGTTGAAAGATTTTGTGCTTCAAAAGATACTATTAAGAAGATTAAAATTTTAAAAAGAAAATTAAAATCCAAGCCACAAACTGTAAGAAAATACTTGCAAATCATATTTCTAATAAAGGACTTGTGTTAAGAATAGATAAAGAATTATTACAAATCAATAATAAGACCACTGAATTTTAAAATAGTCAAAAGATTTATAGACTTAAAGTCCGCTAATTAGCAAGGTTAAAGAAAGAAAAGATTTATAGACATCTCAACAAAGATATGCAAATGTATAATAAGGACATGAAAATATCGCTCAATATCATCAATCCTTATAGAAATTCTAATTAAAACCTCAGTGAGATACCACTTCACACCCATTAGTGTGACTATAATAAAAAAGACAGCCAATAATAAGTTGTGGCTAAGATGTGGAGGAACCAAAACCCTCAAACATTGCTGGTGAGAATGTAAAATGGCACAGCTACTTTGGAAAATTGTTTGAACATTTCTTAAAAGCTTAACATACATGTGCCAAATGATTTAGCCATCTCAAACAAACACAAGTAAGGGAATCTGTCACCAGTAGACCTGCCTCTCAAGAAATGCTAAAAGAAGATTACATAAATCAGAAACTTGCATCTACATAGAGAAAAAAAAGCAATAGAGAAGGCAAAAGATAAAGATAAAATAAATCTTTATTTTTCTTAATCCTATCTGATCTAATAGATAACTGTTCAAAGTAATAATAGCAAATGATTGGGTGATTAGAGCACACGAACAAGTTGTTGGATGAATTATGGCGATGTTATTAGAGAAGGAGGGAGGAATTAGAAATACTCTGTTATAAGGTAACTGCATTAACCATGAGACAGAATATTATTTGAAAGTGGACCTAGATTCGTTGTAAATGTATATTGTAAACCCTAAGGCAACCACTAAAAAATTTTTGTAAGAAGTGTAATTGGGGCCAGGTGGGGTGGCTCACGCCTGTAATCCCAGCATTTTGGGAGGCTGAGGCAGGTGGATAACCTAAGGTCCGGAGTTCAAGACCAGCCTGGGCAACATGGAAAAACCCATCTCTACTAAAAAAACAAAAATTAGCTGGGCGTAGTGGCGCACGCCAGTAATCCCAGCTACTTGGGAGGCTGAGACAGGAGAACTGCTTGAACCTGGGAGGCAGAGGCTGCAGGGAGTTGAGACCACGCCATTGCACTCCAGCCTGGGAGACAAGAATGAAACTCTATCTCAACAAAGAAAGAAAGAAACAAAACCCAGAAGTATAAGTGATATAGTGATATGATAAGAAATATATATTTGGTCTTTATCCCTGGTTTCTGACACAGATCTCCTAGTGTAATACAATAAATTAACATTTTATTTTTGTCCCCAGTTCCTCACAGAGTATCTCAGACCCTTGGAATATCCAGGGTGTTAGAGGTGGTAGCTACTATTATTCACAGCAAGCCCCTTACAACCATACTTGATCTTATGTTAATGAAGTGACCCTTGAAGGATGGGGGCTGACTGGCAGAGGAACCAACTATGTGATTAGAATGCTATGGTTTGAATGTATGTGTCCCTGCAAAATTCATGCGTTGGACTGTGGCTCCCACAAGATGACAGTAGTAAGAGTTGGGGATCTTGGGAGTGATCAGGCTACGAGAGCTCCTCCTTGTGGATGGGATTAGTACCCTTATAAAACAGCCTGAGGGAGAGAGTTCCTCCCTTCCACCCTTCTGCTCTTTCGCCAAGTGAGAAAACAAGGATGCGCCACAAAGCACCTTCTTGGAAGCAGAAAGCAAACACCAAGTTGGCTGGTGCCTTCATCTTGGACTTCCTAGCTTCCAAAACAGTGAGAAATAAATTTCTGTTATTTACAAATTACCCAGTCTGTGATGTTTTTGTTACAGTGGCAGAATGGACTAAACAGGTGGGAACTTTTAGTATCCACCCCTCTGCCCAACTTCCAGAGAGAGAAGAGGGGCTAGAGGTTGAATTAATCACAATGGACAATGATTTACTCAATCATGCCTATGTAATGGGACCTCCATAAAAACCTTAAATGATGGGGTTGAGAAAATTTCCAGGTTGGTAAACACATCCATGTGCTGGGAGGATGGTGCAACTCTACTCCATGGGGACTGAAGCTCCTGTGCACAGGACCTTTCCAGACCTTGCTCTGCATGCTTCAGTGATTCATCTGTATCCTTTATGATAGCCTTCATAATAAACTGATAAAATTAAATAAGAGTTTCTCTGCATTCTGTGAGCCATTAAAACAAATTTCTGAGTCTGAGGAAGGAGTCATGGGAATCCTCAATTTGTAGTCCAGTGAGAGAGAAGTGTGGGTAACCTGGGGATTCGTTACTTGTAACTGGCATCTGATGTGGGAGTGGGGCAGTCTTGTGGGACTAAGTCTTTAACCTGAGGGGTTTGTGCTAACTCCGGGTGGTTAGTATCAGAATGGATTAAATTGTAGCACACTTAGCTTGGCATGGTGGCTCACACCAGTAATCCCAGCACTTTGGGAGGCCAAGGCGGAAGGATCACTTGAGGTTGAAGAGTTTGAGACCAGCCTAGGCAATATATTGCCTAGGCAATATAGCAAGACCCACGTCTCCACAAAAAATAAATAAATAAATAAAACAATGAACTGTCATGGTGGTGCCTGCCTGTAGTCCTAACTACTCATGAGGCTAAGGCAGGAGAATTACTTGAGCCCAGGAGTTCAAGGCTACAGGGAGCTATGATGGCATCACTGCACTCCAGCCTGAGTGACAAGAGTGAGACCCTGTCACAAAACAAACAACAATAAAAATAAATTGTAGCACACTCAGTTGGCATCTGCAGAGAACTGAGAAACAGTTTTCCTTTAGATATGCTGAGTGGAGAGAAAAATGGAATCCTATAAAATGGTCGATTAAAACCAGAGAAGGCAGAAAAAGAGGGAAGACTGGGTAATTGACTAAGTATGCAGCAACAGCATCCTGAGCTTCCATGCTGGGCCTGAAGCAGCAAATAAATGTCAGAGGAGCGGGGACTGAACACCTTCCTGCCTTCTTGAGTCCAGCAAGACCTAGATACCAAGTTTTCCCCACCCCAGCTGCCCAGATACGTGTGTGATTCTTAATTCCAAAAGACAGCTTCAAGTCAGGAGATCTGATTTCTAGACCCAGCTCTGCTGGACTGTTGTGGGCAAAAAATAAAGACCACCATTCATCCTTTTGGTGCTTTATTTCCTGAGGCATTCGATGGAAACAATGAGTATCCATCCAACCTACTGCACCAGCTGGTGAAAAACCAGAGTGAGCGGACACATCTGAAAGTACTGGGTAATGAGGCAGGCCAGCGAGCGGACACATCTGAAAGTACTGGGTAATGATGAGGCAGGCCATATTGAAACGTGCACTGCCTTAGGTTTGAACCAAGTTCTGCTGAAGACCTGTCACCAGGGGCAAGTCATGTAAATATGAACGGTTATTCTTTTTCATGTCTCCAAACTGGTAGGAGCGAAGAGTGTCGCGTTATTGGAGACGTTCCTCAGCGCCCCAAGAGGGCAGTTGTCTCAGTCGGTTTCTAAACTCTGGCTCTGGGATTCTCTGGCCCCGCTCTATTATTTACAGATGAAAAAGGCTCAGAGACCGAGTGACTTGTCCACGGTCACACAAGGAGTACTGTCACAGTATCGATCCTAGGACCACGGGGTCTGTGAGGAATTTGGCGTGGTCGGCGTTGGATTAGCAGCCAGCGATGGCGGCTTTATAACGTCAGCACCGCAAAGCGAAGACGAGGCCCGTCACCTAGCGGCCGGTTTAGGCACTACAAAAAAAGCGCCGTGAAAAAGACACTGGGTTCTGCGGCAGGCGGGAGCCAATACGCACTAAGTTCGCTCTGCTAATTCCTTTTTTCTATTGGTATTTCTAACTGTCAAACAAACACCTTCCCGTCTCTTATTGGTTTGCCATCAATCATTTTATTCAGTCTACCAATCATACGCTCTTTGCCAAGTACTTGTTTTCGTCATGACATCTCTTTCGGAGTCTGACGAATTCAGCTGGTTCCTTTACTCCATTGGCCAGATGAAACTCCTCCTCTCGTTTACCCTGTTGGGGGCGGAAGTGAGAAAGCCTTTATTCGTATTGGCTTAGATTTACAAGCGGTAGTTGTCTATCAAATCTATATAGGCGCCCTTAGCGCTCAGGAAGTACGAAACCGGAAGGGGTGGGCCATGCGAAGATGGCGGCACTGGTGAGTATAGTGTGGTTGCTTCCTTGCGTAGCTGTTGTGGAGTTTTCCTTTCCCTTCAGCGGCTGGAGGCAAACTGTTGATACCAGGGAAGGGTGGTGATGAAAGTGCTTCAGGGAGGTTGCCTCGCTAGAGTTACTGTTCCTGTCTAGTAACCCAAGGGGCTGGCTTTAAGACGAGTCTGTGACCCAGAGTGTGAAGGCCCCAAGTCTGGGGTGTCTGGCGGAGAGAGAGCAGTTTTTCAACCTAGACGTTCCGCCTTCTTATAATCCTGAGAAATGACTTTTCTTACCTCGTCTCCCTTCTGTAGGAGGTGCTGGAGTCAGACCTGCCAAGTGCCGTGACACTTCTGAAAAATCTCCAGGAGCAAGTGAGTAGTGTCGCCTCTGGAATAAATTAGTCATGGATTGGTTTTGACTTTACGTGTTTCACCCCAAACTTTGGTGGTTGAGATATATGAATGCTCCCCAAAACCATAGGAGGAAAATGATGTAATGAAAATCCTTTCAGGCCAGAATTCGAAGTAATTGATTCCGCACCTAAGAGAATACAGGAGACTCCAAAAAAAATTATCTGAGTAGTTTTCCTTTATTCATGTAGTTAAGGAAACCAGTGCTTGAAATAGTAACATGATTTGCCCTTTGGGTGCCCAGGTAGTACACACTTATATACAGATAGATACTCCTCGACGTAACGATGGAGGTTATGGCCTGATAAACCCATTGTAATACGAAAATATCGTAAGTCGAAATTTAGGCTTGATGCTGCTGCCCAGCATCATGAGAAAAGTACTACTGAATGCGTATTGAATGCATATTGCTTCTACTGAATGCATGTTGCTTTTGGACCCTCGTAAAGTGGAAATTCAAATCATAAGTCAGGGAGCTATGTAGTTCTGTTTATTGTAAGTTCAACCAGCACAGACAGAATTACAGCCCTCCCATCACTACTGTCTCTGTCGTTTTCCCCTCCCTTTGGTTTAATAAAAGATAGTCTGCTCTTTAAGAAGTGTAAAGATTTTTTGTTGTTTTTTACTTTTGTTTTTTTTTACTTTACGTTTGAAGAACCATCTCTCCCCAGAAGTGAGAAGATGGTATTTATACTTTAGACAGTGTTTCAGATAATTTTTAGGTGGCATTGTTTAGCTTTTACTCTTCACAATTTGCAGACATGATTTGATAAGTGTAGTCAGTTGTTTTATTTGGGCTAATTTCAGGTGATGGCTGTAACTGCACAGGTGCAATCACTGACAAAAAAAGTTCAAGCTGGTGCCTATCCTACAGAAAAGGTAAGATGTACTCAAACATTAAGCATCCCCTGACTTAATGGTCTCAGTAGTTCTTTCATTGTATGTTTATTGTGTTTTATATATCCTAAGTGCTCGAGCTTCAAACATAAATGAGATCCAGTTTCTGTGTTGAAGTCTAGTGTGAAGACAAAGCAAAGCAACAGATATGAGTATTAATAGTAGCAGTCACATTACAGAGTTATGAGGAGTCTCCAGGGATTAATTAACTGCCAGAAGAGCAGAGAGATTCAGGACAGGCTTCCCAGAGGAGGTGATAAGATTTTGAGGAATAAACAGGAGGGATGGAAAGAAGCAATGTGCAAAGGCACAAAGGCCTGAAAGCATGGTGATATTATGGGTAAGGAGGAAGTCATTTTTGTGGTTGGATGTACATTCTGTGTTATGTGTGGTGGGGGTAGAAAATAAGACTGGAAAGATAGTCTCTGAAGATTATTGTAGGCCATTTGAGGAGTTACTTTCAAATTTCATCTAATCTAAGACACTTATTAAATGGGACATACCACTTATTGTATATACAAAGAAAAAATGTTTGCAGGCTGGGTGTGATGGCTCATGCCTGTAATCTGAGCACATCAGGAGGCGGAGGCTGAGGCTGGAGGATTGCTTGAGCTAAGGAGTTTGGGACCAACCTGGGTAACATAGTGAGACCCTGTCTGTACAAAAATTAAAAATCAGCCAGGCATGATGGCATGTGTCTGTAGTCCCAGCCACTTGGGAGGCTGAGGCTGGAGGATCACTTGAGCCTGGGAGGTTGAGGCTGCAGTGAGCTGTGATTGTGCCACTGCATTCAGCCTAGGTGACAGAATGAGCCCCTGTCTTATGACATAATACTAAGATGCCAGGGACTGAAACATGCATCCTGATTTCAGAGATGTTAAAATATGAAAACGATGTGCATCTTAAACTTGAAATATGTCCCTGTAATCCCAGCACTTGGGGAGGCCAAAGTGGGAGAATTGCTTGAACCTATGTGTTTGAGACCAGCCTGGGCAACATGATGAGACCTGTCTCTACAAAAAATAAAAAATGAGCTAGGCTCAGTGGTGTGTGCCCATAATCCTACCTACTTGGGAGGCTGAGGTGAGTGGATCACTTGAACCCAGGAGATTGAGGCTATCATCAGCCACAGTTGCACCATTGCACTCCAGCCTGGGCTACAGACTGAGACAGTCTTAAGACCAGGCTAGGAAGAAAGGTGGCTCACTCCTATAATCCTAGCACTTTGGGAGACTGTGGTGGACAGATCACCTGAGATCAGGAGTTCTGAGACCAGCCTGGCCAACATGGCAAAACCCCATCTCTACTAAAAATACAAAAATTAACCAGGCATTGTGGTACGTCCCTGTGTGTAACCCCAGTTATTCAGGAGGCTGAGGCAGGAGAATCGCTTGAACCCAGGAGGTGGAGGTTGCAATTAGCGGAAATTACGCCACTGCACTTCACTCTGGGCCACAGACCAAGACTCCATCTCAGGGAAAAAAAAAAAAAAAAAAAACCAACAATTGAAATATGGTAGTTTTCAAATTAAGGTCTGGTAGAACCTTCTCAGGGATTATTGGCTGGGGGCAATATGGAAGAATAACTCTGGACCTCTCATGCCTACTTAACTGGAAAACTGATATTATATTCTTTTATATATTGAGCTTTTGTCCTAAGATACTTATGCCAAATATTCTATGGATAAACACAAGTATGAAAACCATTAAGAATCAATGAAGGATTTTTAAGCACAGGAGTTGCAGGAGATTTGTACTTACAGAAAGATGACTAACAGCATTTAAAATATATTCTTGCCTTTATCATTCATTTATGTTCTTATTGTCCATTTTTATTCGAAAAATTTTGAATCTTTGTTTTTCTCTTATGCTTGTAACTCAGTTTGAATTTGACAGTGCCCAAGCACGTCAGAAGAGCCTACTTCTCAAATTCTTACCTGTTTTCGTCCTGGGTACCATGGTTTTTTGTTTTGTTTGTTGAGACGATGTCTCACTCTGTCACCCAGGCTGGAGTGCAGTGGCATGATCTTGGCTCATTGCAACCTCTGCTTCCTGGGTTCAAGTGATTTTCCTGCCTCTGCCTCCTGAGTGGCTAGGATTACAGGCACCAGCCGCCACGTCCAGCTAATTTCGTATTTTTAGTAGAGATGGGGTTTCACCATGTTAGCCAGGCTGATCTTGAACTCTCAACCTCAGGTGATCTGCCTTCCTCAGCCTTTCAAAGTACTGGGATTGCAGGTGTGAGCCACTGTGCCCAGCCCTGGGTACCATGCTTTGAATCATTTTACTGCCTTTTGGAGATGGATGAGTTGCCAGCATCCTTCTTAGATCACTATATATTTGTTTGTTGAACAAATATATTAACTTATCTTTTATAAGACTGAGGTTGGCCAGGCACGGTGGCTCACACCTGTAATCCCAGCACTTTGGGAGGATGAGGCAGGCAGATCACGAGGTCAGGAATTCGAGACCAGCCTGGCCAACATGGTGAAACCCCGTCTCTACAAAAAATTAGCCAGGTGTAGTGGCAGGCACCTGTAATCCCAGCTACTCAGGAGACTGAGGCAGGAGAATCGCTTGAACCTGGGAGGCAGAAGTTGCAGTGAGCCGAGACTGTGCCATTGCACTTTAGCCTGGGCAACACAGCGAGACTCCATCTCAAAAAAGGCGAGGCGTGGTAGTGCATACCTGTAATATCAGCATTTTGGGAGGCTGAGGTGGGTGGATTACCTAAGGTCAGGAGTTGGAGACCGGTTTGACCAGCATGGTGAAACTCCATCTCTGCTGAATACAAAAAATTAGCCAGGCATGGTGACGCATGCCTGTAATCTCAGCTACTTGGGAGGCTGAGACATGAGAATCGCTTGAACCTGGGAGGCGGAGGTTGCAGTGAGCCGAGATTGTGCCATTGCATTCCAGCCTGGACAACAAGAGCGAAACTCCTTCTCAAAAAAAGAAGACAACGACTGAGGTCACAAGGTTAAATGACTTACTCAATATTTGACTACCAAATACGTAACTCAGAACTTAAACTGTTTTTATGACTCTCAACCCTTTGCTTTCTTTCTGTACCACACTTGTGTTGATCTCAAGAGCTTAGCATGTTTGGCTTAAAGACATCCAAGGATAGGTGTTAGAGTCAGATTTCGTTTGAATCTTAGCTCTACTTGTATTACTGTGTAATCTTGGCCAAAGTACTTAACGTCTCTGAAATAGGTTTTCTCAGGGTGTGAAGTTTGGAAGATACTTAAAAGCACAAAGAAAAAAATGAAAAATATGTATAATCACCACTCTGAGATAACCACTGTGGTATATTTTTTTGGAGATTTTTTAAATTATAAGAGTAATATATGCAACACTTTTTCGCAGTCTAAAATACACCATTTCTTCCTTTTCCTCATCTCTCCCTGGGGTAGCGGTTAATTGTGTGTTATCTTGTAGACAGTTTTCTATGTGTATAAAATGTATACATCATACTCCCCGCCCCCCCGCCACACACAGTTTCACAATTAAAGTCATATTATACTTTCTACAACTTGTGCTGACATGGATTTAATTCTATGCCATTTTATGTAAATCATTGTTTTTACCTATATCATATTCCATTGTATTGGGGGAAGTTGGTAATTGCTTTGATTAAATTCATTTAAAAATTGGCAGTGTATGGAGACATTTTTGATTGTTGCAGCTTGGAGGGGCCAAGAATGGGTAGAGGCCAAGAATGCTGCTGAAAACCTACAATGCCCAGGACAGCCCTTCACAAAAAATATTTTGGCCTCAAATGTCAACAGCTCTGAAATTGAGAAACCCTGTTATAGTCTTTTCTTGGGGGTAGTTTATTGATTTTCGTCTTCTCATTGTCTTTCATTAATTCTCTGAGCGATGTTTCTCTTGTATTACCATAATTTTCTCATTGGCCATCTTAGGCATAGCTACTTCTTGAGACTACTCCAGATACCTAATATGTACTGATTGGGAAGATCTTGAACTTGGAAGAACATCCTGTTTACCCTAGACTTTCTTCCTGGTTTTGTGGCTACAACCAAATCTGCATCTCTTTATGTTTTTTTCAACTCAGGGTCTCAGCTTCTTGGAAGTGAAAGACCAGCTGCTGCTCATGTACCTTATGGATTTGACACACCTCATTCTGGACAAAGCCTCAGGAGGGTCTCTTCAGGGACATGATGCAGTTTTGAGACTGGTGGAGATTCGCACGGTATGAAGCATTTGGCATCTTGGAGTTTTAGGTTTCTAAATCTTGAACTCCAGGGCTGTTACATAGTAACTCTCATTTAAATGAGTTTTCTCATGTTTAAGGAAAACAAATAAAAAAAAGGTATTTTTCTGTTCATTTGCTCTACTTTGTATATATTTTAGGTGCCTTATGTGGCATCTTAATATAAAGACTTTGGTATGTGCTTCATTTTGGGAGGGGAATATAATCCTGTTTAACTACCATATTGTAGGTTTTGGAAAAGCTTCGTCCCTTGGACCAAAAACTGAAATATCAAATTGACAAACTGGTCAAGACTGCAGTGACAGGCAGCCTTAGTAAGTGAGGAGACCATCATGAAGTTGTGGGAACCATTGTAAAGTTCCAAATTTTGTGAAATCCCTTGGGTTATTTATTTCAGGTGAGAATGACCCACTTCGTTTTAAGCCTCATCCCAGCAATATGATGAGCAAGGTAAGGGGTTATATTATTGGGTTGTATTATTCTGATTTTTTTCTGAAGGATCTATACCTAGATGAGCCTTGTGGTGATCCTGGATCCCCTGGGATTCTCTTAGGACTTGATTTTATAACTTGTGTGTTAGAATGCTGAGTATGAGATTCCCTTTTCTCCCTTTTTATATTCCCACCTCCCCAGGGTACTCCAGCTTTGGGTTTTCTTCTCACTTATGAATGCTTCCTAAATTTGCAGACATTGTTTCTTTTTTAGTTGAATTCTGAGGATGAGGATGAAGCAGAAGATGGCCAGTCTGAGGTGTCAGGGAAGAAATCTGTGAAAGGAGTGTCTAAGAAATATGTTCCGCCACGCTTGGTTCCAGTACATTATGGTATGTGTCTTGGCTGCTGCCTCCTCAGCATGAATGTTTCTCTTCTTTTCTCTGTTCTTGGATAACTTCTGCTTATTTTCATCAAGTAGATGAAACAGAAGCTGAGCGGGAGAAGAAGCGTCTAGAACGAGCTAAGAGACGGGCATTGAGCAGCTCTGTCATTCGTGAACTTAAGGAGCAGTACTCAGATGCTCCAGAGGAAATCCATGATGCTCGGCATCCCCATGTTACCCGCCAGAGTCAGGAGGACCAGCACAGGTGTGAGCCCTTGCATTGGAAATTTATTCCTACTCTGGAGTCCTGTCCTCGTGCTTTAGACAATTGTGACTAAGTTTGATACCAAGAGAATTAACGTTATATAGAAAATATAGTGAAAAATTTGGGATGATAGTTTCTAAGAGTCAGGAGTTTGGAGTACAGGATAGGAAGTAGAATTTTTTTTCCCCCGTTTAGTCCAAAGCAAAAGCAGTACATTGCAACTCGACATGAGATTTGAGGGGGAAAAAAGAAAAAAAAGCAGTACAAAGAGGAATACATGCAGTTCCATATATTACAACTTTAAAATTCTGTGTTTTACTGTCACAGTTCTCACTTATGTGCAGAAAGCAATAAAGGCAGGCTTTTATTATTGTGAGTTAGATGAGTTCAGTCAAGGAAAGTAAAAAAGCAGTGTAATTGAATACAGACTCATCAACTTTGCTCAGGTGCAGTCTTCACAGTTGATGGATTTGCATGAAAAGACAAATTTAGGGAAACCTGTTTATAGAGCTGAGATGCTGAAATAAAAAAAATTTTTGGTATAATTTTTAAATACTATTATGTATGGATAGGCTATGGACTCATATCTAGGATGAGGGAAGTTCTAGCATAGAGCACATTTCGTTGAGGAAGCTCAGTGTTGAGCATTCAATATGTCCTTACTAAATCCTGTGTTGATCTGCTCTGAAACTTCTTGAGAACTCCCTGAACAAGGGATGAGTAAATACTTGGGCCCAGGTTCTGGGCTGGAGCTTTCAATCTTCATGGTCTGAGCTTGCTGGAAACTGTCTTTCTCTGGCAGGATTAACTATGAGGAGAGCATGATGGTGCGTTTGAGCGTCAGTAAAAAAGAGAAAGGACGGCGAAAACGAGCAAATGTCATGAGCTCACAACTTCATTCCCTTACACACTTCAGTGACATCAGTGCTTTGACAGGAGGAACTGCTCATCTTGATGAGGTGAGGTTGAGATAACCATTGTAGGAGATGACTTTCATGCTTTCAGCCAAATGTATGTAGGGCTTATTACCATGAGGAACTTGGGAAGGGATGCTAGTTCTCAGAACCACAGTACCATTCCTTCGCTTCTCCATCTGTCTCCAGGATCAGAATCCTGCTAAAAAGCGGAAGAAGATATCTAAGAAAGGTCGGAAGAAAAAAGGTCAGTGAACTGCTAGGACTTAGGTGATCAGGTGCAAGGTGGGGAGTACAAGTTGAGACTATTTGGATTTGCCATTCTGGGTCTCAACAACCCCTGTAGTATCTCTTCCATACTGGACAATAATCTCCTTAGATGGGCTTTTATTTTTTTCTTTCCTAAGCTGGATATCAGCATCATTCACAAAATGAAACTCTGGATTCCACATCTAAGGTTCCACAGCTCCTGTTCAGGCCCTAAATAGAGCTGTTAAAGTGTCACTTGAAGGAACCATTATCCCATTTCAATTTTATTCTGTCTTCTCGTCTTTCGTCCTGGGAAGATATGCAAAGTATTGCTAGGAGACCCTATCCCTGTGAGCCCTTCTCTCTAGATGTCCTCTTTTCCTGTCCCTTTAGCTTTTCCAACTGTCCTTTGCCTCATTCTTGGTTTCCCTTCCTTTCAGGTTTTCGGAGGCGGCGGTGATTATGGGTGTACATATTTGTATATTTTTTGTCATCCTGAGATACTTCTAATATCATTGTATATAGGTTGTTTTCCCTGGAATTTATTGTTTGTTTTGGACATGTGGAAAGAGCCTTACTAATAAAATTTATTTTACTTATGAATTAAAAGCCCCTTTTGCACATGTATTGTGTGACTGGAGTCGCTGGGTTTGGGGTATTTTTGGTGAGTGGTTGGTGAAAAGGGAAAGATTTTTTTGGAAGTGCGAAACATTTGGCTATTTCCTTTGATAATATGTTTTTCCTGGAAACTAAAAATTGGTTGTTTCACAAAAAATACTGAGAGATGAGGGTGGAATAATCAACTCTTTCAACCCATGTTGCCCCAAGTTCCTGTATGATTTGTTATAATGCAGTACAGATTTGAGATATCAATACATGAATTTTAGGTTTTATTATTGTTATCTGGGCTGGCCACCAGGTGGCATTTGTGGTTCAAGAAACTTGTGAAGCTTGGCTGTAATCAAAAGCAAGATAGAACCTTTCCACATCAGCAAGAATTATTCTTGTCTCAACCTCTCTGAATGTTTTTCATTTCTTTCTGAAATGGCATGAACATAGGGCTGATCTTTGGTTAGTTACTGAGATAGTTTGTAGAAAATAGTACAGTGAGTAAGAAGGCTGGAGTGAAGAGTCAGTATAGTTTTGTGTTTTTCAGTCTTTGACCTCCCTTCAACTGAGGGTTGTTTTACCAGAGTCAGTAAAGGCTAACCCTTCTCTAAAGAGCTTGCCCCTCCTCCCCTCGAAAAAAGCCAGCAGACAAGCAGAACAGTCCTAGCTTAACAGCCAAAGAAATGAAAATCCCACAGAAATAATCAGCCAAACTCAAATCAGGAGACTGGTGGCAGTTACACATCTGAGATCTTGTATTCTACTCTGTTAGTGAGATATCCCACAGGCCTTGGATAATACAGAAAGTGAAAAAAGGGATTAAAAAAAAGAAGTTGGGTCTGTAGAACTAATTCATTGGAGTTTTTTAAAAAGGCTTTGGGTCTCATGAACATTTGATTTTGTGTCTAGTATTCCTCGGTAGTATTGACAAATTAATTTGGGTTTTTATATGACTAAAACCTTGTTGATTCTGAATATAGGAATCTGGATTTATACTATTCTGCCTGATTGGGCAGAATAGTGTAAATTCTACTTTCAGTCAGCTGCTGCCTGGTAGAAAGTAGATAGGAGATGGCAGTCTTCTGTTAATTCTGTGATCTCGAGCAAATCACTTAACATCTCTGGCCTTTAAGTTTCCTCAGCTAAGAAATGAATGTATTACACTTCATTTCTGAGATTCCCTTTAAGTTAAAGCCTAGAGCTTTTGTCAATGACACTAAGTTGGGCTTATGTCTGGGGCCACTAACTTTTAGTCCCTGGTAGATCTGAGGGAGTCTGACATGCCCTGGGCTCTCATACTTCCATTTCCTCAAGGGAATCTAAACAAAGCCACAAGCACAGATTTAGAGACTTTTTTTCCCTTTATGGCTGAACTAACTAGATGAGTGATTTGGTTCAAAAATACTTTAGTTAAAACCACTTCATTTGCTGGTTAGGACCACTGTGTTTCTAATTTATTAAGATTTGTGGATTATGGGAACTGCCAGGGGAAGGGCAGTGCTCTTATAAAAAAAAAAAACAAAAAAAAACCCTACTTTCTGGCCATATGTGGTGGCTGACACCTGTAATCTGGGCACTTTGGGAGGCTGGGGCAGGAGGATTGTTTGAGGCTAGAAGTTTAACACCGGCATGTTTAACACAACAAGACCCTGTCTCTAAAAAAAAATTAGCCAGGTATAGTGGTGTGCACCTATAGTCTCAGCTGCTCGGGAGGCTGAGGCAGGGGTTTGCTTGAGCCCTTGAGTTTGAGGTTGCAGTGAACTATGATCTTACCACTGTATTCCAGACTGAATGACAGCAAGACTTATCTTAAAAAAAAAAAAAAAATCTTGTGTTACATGCTGAGCTAAGTGCTTTATACTTAATCCTTATAAAATCTATGTTATTTCCATTTTACTAGTGAGGAAGCTGAGACACTTAGGGCAAGCAATTTTTCCTAAGTTGGAGAACCAATACTGGGGGAACACTGAGGATGGAGGACTTCAAGTATCCTATGTTTCATGAAAATCTTCAGGGTTAAAAAATCTTTTTTAATTTGTAGGTGGTTTTTAATCTGGCTCTCCTACCCTACTGCCCCATTTCTGTTAGAGGCCTCATCTTCAAAGAAACCCCAAGTTCCACGATTCTGGTCTCTTGGTGGTATACCAATGAACACAGCAGACAAAATCCCTGCCTTTGTGGATCTTATATTAATTCAATCAAGTCTTTAATCCCAGGACATTTTGTTTTCCCTGAACTTCAGGCATTATTTGAAAGAAGTTTCTGGTAAAAAGTTGAACTGTTTCTGAGAATAATTGTACCAGAGTCCTTAAACACTGTAGAGTGTATTGTTTGACAGAGTATTACATGGATTCTCAATATGTAAAACAAGAATAAGTGGGGTTACTTTGGTTGAAGTGGGGATGAGGAATCCTAAAGTTCCATGTTCTTATGACCCCTTTTCCCCAAGATTCTTGAGGATCCCCTAAGGAACCTTTAGAATTCTTTAGAATATTGTTTGAGAACAACTGTTAGGGTAGTAAAACAAGGGAACTAAGAATTAGAATTTTAGGATTTTGTTATAGCTGTTCACTTTTTTTCTTTCCCTTATTCCTACTCATAGATTCAGTTCTCTGATCAATTCCAGATCACATGAATATCAGATTTCCTCAGTGTATTGCTGACAGCAGATCATTTCTGGTGTTCACTAAGTAATATCTGTCAATGCACACGTGAGCACCTTACCTGTTTGGTTTTATCACGTGATGGCTTTATTCTGTACAAGTAGTTTACATCTCTGCTTTGTTTTCATCTTAGGGGACAGGGAAAAGAGTTTGACCAAGGCCTGTCTTTGCCTTAAAAGCATTGTTTTGTTAGGATTTTATGAAGGCTTGCGAAAATGTCTATTGGTAATTCACAACAGTCTTTTTAGATACCTTATTAGGAAAAATGCATTTTATTTACAAGGGAGATTGTTAGTGTGTCAATTTTCAGCACTACAGAGAGTTCAAACTCTCCTCATTGCTTGGGTTGATGGACCATACATAGCTAAACCATAGAGCTATATGGTGTAGACCTGACCTTTTTCAGAGCCCAGTTTATCTGTCCAATCTCCAGTTCTGATTGGTACAGATTGGGTGAGAGTCAAACACTCCTGAGTGTCCCCCATCCTCCCTGGAATCTTTTAGGTCTATAAATCCCAGATTCGTGCCAAGGATTTGGCTAACTTGTTGGAAGTATGTGAGTGGAATCCTGCCTCCTGCTCCATTGGTAATATCATGTATATTATGGTACGTGAGATTTTTACCAGCCCTTAAGAAAAACTCTGTTCCCTACTCGTCTTTGCTTAGAGAACCTTGAGGGGACTTAAAGTTGCTTTTTCATTCCTTGGGCCTTGTTTTCTTCCTCTGCATGAGGAGAGGCATCAATGCTCTGGCTCTCTGCCCAGTCTTACTTTTGTATTTCTTTGATCTCATTGTTCAGAGGGTCTCAGAGAAGCCCCAAGAGCCATGCCTTTGCATGTTTAAGCTATTGATGCTTTTGAAATAACAGAGTGTTGCTGTGTAGGAAGTGTATTAAAGGTCTATCTTAAACAAATTTGGGTCAATAGGTGGCAGTAGTCACCGAGTCCGGAGGCCCCGACACCCCCTAAACACAAACACATTTGATGGCCATTATATTTAAGGAAGGATGTGAGAAAGGAGGTCACATTGAGATTAAAATGGGGAGAAAATCCCTTTTGGTGGAATCCAGGAAATGCTGAAATGTGCTGGATTACATCTGTGGAAGTGTTGTGTGGGGTGTGGGGGAAAGATAGCTGTCAGCTAATGAAGGACACTGATTGGAAAGAGGAGAGCCTCGGGATTGGGGGAGCAGATTCATTCATCTAAGATGTAGGTGCTAAGGCTTCTTCCAGCTAGTATAAGGCTGTGTTAAATGAGGACCAGCACTGAAAGGATAGAGTGGGGTTGGAGGGAGTAGAGATGGAGGTTGGGGAGGAGGGGCAGAACTGTGTGAAGGAACCATGGAAAGGGTGGGCTGTGAACGGGAGAACTGCAGTTAGAGGGGGAGGGGGAGGCTGCTGCAATACTGAACCTATCTAATGGGGGAGGGGAGGGCGTGATATTGGTCTGTGCTGCAGCTGCATTGCTTCCCCTCCCCCACACTTCCCAAGGAGCCAGAGGAGTGCTGGCAAATCTGTCTTCATGTATTTATTATTATTAAAAATGTGACAGATCCTTCCTCCCTGGAAGCACAACAAATACTACTGATCACATTTCTCTCTCTCTCCTCCCTCTGCAGACCTTTTGCATTCTCTCTTTCATTCTACCCTGTCCTCCCCTACTTGGTCTGCTTGGTGGGGGGAACCCTTCCTTTCTTTCCTTCTTAGAGCTTGGTGGCTCCCTGGGGGTTTCTAATGGTGGTTGGGAGTTTTGAGGCAGTGCTGGGAGGAAAACCTGAGTGAGGGGCATTCATGGCCCAAGGGAGGCAACTGTATTCTCCTATATCCAGTGGGGAAAGGAAATCACTTGGAAATAAAATAAAGATAAAAATCCTCTTTCCAGGTAATGAAATATGCAGGTGCTCATATTCCTTTCAGTACCTTGTGTTCCTCCTTTTTCATATTCTTCTCTTTTCTATTGCCTGAGTTCTGAAGGGGAAACCCCCTTGCAATGGTAAAAGCCAGGAGTTCTCTGTCTTCCCTCCCTTACCTTGTTAAGTCCTTTTCTTTCCAGGAGAGCCATATACAATTTATTCTTCTAGCCTGCATGTTGTGTAACTGAGGTTTGAAGGGCAAAAGCCATGGCTTCTTCCTCCCCACCTGCACCCAGACTCCTGTGCCCAGGCAGTGACCTCTTTTGTTGCAGTCTGTAGCCCTTCATCATACCCATAGGTGGTGCTGCTGTTGCTCTGCAGACGGGGCCCTCCCCAACAGCATCATTCCTCCTCCCCCTTTCCCCAGCCCTCTACTGCCTGATTGTTATTCCACCAGCGTCTCCTCTACTGTTCCCTTCCTCAAA